TGTGTGTGTGTGTGTGTGTGTGTGTGTGTGTGTGTGTGTGTTTATGTGTGTGTGTTTATGTGTGTGTGTTTTGCGGAAAGAGAAGATAAGACGCAAGCATTAAAATCTATACGCAAAAACATCCTGCCGGCGGCTTTCGTGGCCTAGGGGTTAAGGTCTTGGCCTCTCATTCAGAGGTCTCCGTTTCGAATCCGGGTAGCGACCGAACATATTTCTTCTCAAAAAACGTCTCCTTTCACCCCCTTTCCTGTTCTTTAACAATGTTATGTCGTCGGCTCTCGTCTCCTGCTTATCGATATCGCCGAGTGCAGAGGGCCGAGACCGTAAATATAAATGGTCGAGTACGCGTGCAGATTTTCCTGCATTTCTAAATTGAGCCAAATGATGCGCTGCATCGTTGACCGGAATTACGCCATAGTACACATTCTTATTGAATAGTACAGAGCACGCGGTACAGGCATATTTTAAAGTACTACTGTTTCTTATATTTTGCAGGGCAAGCACTTGGATTCATTTTACTTCGGTTTCAATTTGAGAACGTGTTTGGATTTTATCGAAATTTGGCTCCTTTCATGCATGTGTACACACAGCACGGCACGGTTGGAGAGAGAACACAGAGCAAAGTTTTGATAGTTGCCCGGGGTTTCTGTGACTGACACCCACTCATTTTCCCATTGCTACTATTGCAACAAGGTACAAGATTTATGGTCCACCCGAAAAGGGGAGACAATTTCAGCAAACAGCCCACCATAATAAATTCTGGTCACGTCTCGTCTCCCCTGGGCTGGCCTTGTCTCAACGACACATCGATTACAAGTACTGCAATGGGAAAGTGAGCGACGACGATTCAGGGAGAATTGGAGATCCACCCAGCTTTACCATCTCTCATGCCTCGTCTTTTATTTTTACCCTTGACTTATCTGAGTTTTACACCACCACCTTAGCCCCCACAAGAATGGTAAATGACAGCAACCGCCGGACAGACAATCGCCCCAAACCAATCAAACAGCCAAGCTCCTTAAGAAGATGAACTGCACCTACGACAGTAACTAAAGAAGGACGAATGATTCTAGTAAAGCAATAAATCTGTACTGAGAGGAAATGCATTAAGCAATAGTAAAAAGGTAGCCCAATAATGTTACCATGAGACAAATCCAACTCAGTGCCCACGTCTGGAGTAATGTAACCAGAACCAGTTACTTATATTGCTAATCAGATGTTTAGATTGTGTTACTTCGAGCAGACGCCGTAAGATTCAATACGCAGATTATGTAGAAGGCTAGAGAGGAAGATGGAGACCTAACAGAAGATGGGAACAGGGCATAGAACCTGACTTGGAACCAAAAACAACCCATGCAGGCATAATGGCAAGAGACATTGTTTTATTGTAGAAAGATCCGAAAAAGAGTGTCTAAATTTCTGGAAAAGCGAAGAAGAAGAAGAAGAAGAAGAAGAAGAAGAAGAAGAAGAAGAAGAAGAAGA